CACAAGTTCAAAGCCAGCCTCAACAAAAGCAAGGTGCTAAAGCAACTCAGTGGGACCCTAAATAAAATACAAAATAGGACGGGGGATGCACCCCTGAGTTCAATCCCCAGTACCCCCTCAAAAAAAATATTGACTCATAATACATTTGTGTGTGTGTGTGTGTGTATTTCTAGGAATTGAACCCTGGGTAGAACTTACCACTGAGCTTCATCCCAACCCTTTTTATTTTTAACTTTGAGAGAGGGTCTCCCTAAGTTGCCCAGGCTGGCCTTTAATTTGTGATCCTGCCTCAGTCTCCTGTGTCACTGGGACCACAGACAGATACCATCACAACTGGGTAATCTGCATGATTTTTGTTGAAGCTATCTTCAATTTTTCATGAACTCAAGAAAGATTTGTTGAAGTAGAACTGCTATACCAACAACTGATTTCACAAATATTTTGTTTTACTGGATACAGAGAATTTTTAAAATGTTTGGAACTTTCTAAGAGATCTTATTCAACCCCCTCACTGTAAAATTGCATGTACTCAAAGCACTAGTCTATTTAAAAGGCCCTAAATATAGATTACATCATAATATGTGTTACCCTACTGATACTGTTTTTTGTTAATTGAATATGTACAATATGGCTTTTGTTTTGTTCTTTTTGATTATTTTGATTATTATTATTATTATTTTTTGGATGCTGGGAATTTAACTCGGGACCTGTTTTCTTTTTAAAAAGTGATTGTATAAATTTAAATTTAGTAGTTTGACTTTCTTTCATCATTTTGCTTTTTAAAAAATTCCTTTAAAGCCTGGGTTAGGTGACACAGGATTATAATCCCAGCAACTCAGGAAGCTGAGGCAGGAGGATCCCAAGTTCAAGGCCAGACCCAGCAATTTAGTGAGACCCTGTCTCAAAAAAATTTTTAAAGGCTGGGGATGTAGCTCAGTGGAAAGCAACCCTGAGTTCAATCTCCAGTACAATAAAAATTCTGTTTTCATTAAAACCACTATTATGTCAAGCATGGTGGTGCATGCCTGTAATCTCAGTGGCTTGGGAGGCTGAGGCAGGAGGATTGCAAGTTCAAAGCCAGCCTCAGCAAAAAACGAGGCGCTAAGTAACTCAATGAGACCCTGTCTCTAAATAAAATACAAAATAGGGCTGGGGATGTGGCTCAGTGGTTGAATGCCCTAAGTTCATACCCTAGTACCAAAAACAAACAAACAAACAAAAAACACTATCATCATGGGCTGGGATGTAGCTCAGCAGCAAAGCATCTATCTGCCTTGTATTTTCAAGGCCCTGGGTTACACACCCAGTTCCAAAAGGAAAACAAAACAAAACCCCAAACCCTCACTATCATCAGCATTGTTTGAATAGACATATTAGTCTTCATTGGTTTCTGTAAAAAGATTAATTTTTGGTCCAAAATAGTTATTGTGATTTTTTTTGTTTTATTTTTGCTTCTTTTTGTTGTAGTTTAAGATTCTGTCTTGCTTTGGTTGAGTCCTTTTTAATTAAATGCACCAGCCCCAGCTTCTTACCTTTCCCAATACATGAGTTAATTTAAACATTTTGCTTGTACTGGGTGTTACTAAGATCTTTGTATTTTTTATCTGGGGCTAAAATGAAATTGACAAGGGGTGTGGTCTGGTATATTCTGCTCATCTTGGCTTTATACCAGGGAACTTTATGCAAAAGTGATTACCCCACCTTGATTCAGTAAGCCAGACATGAGTCCCAGCATTTGAGGACAGCGACTTGACCTTCACTCTGTACCCTCAGAGCTTGGAACAGTACCTGGAACTGAACATAACTTGTTGAATGAGTAGATACAATTAATTTGACTCTGGCTTCTGAAATAATGCTAATAGAAGCAGATGAAATGTAAAAAATAACAGTGCAAATGAATTTCCATTTCTCTTTATGAAGCAAGTTTGGAATTAAAAATATTTTAATTTTTATTTTCTAAGCAAACAAAATGTATACATTTATGGTATACTGCATGATTTTGTGTGGGTGTGTGTGTACGTGCGTGCGTGCGTGTGTACACATGGTACTGGGGATTGAACCCAGGGTTTCACAATATTCCAGGCAGGTGCTCTGCCACTGAACTATATCCCCAGTCTTTTTTGACTTTTATTTTGAGACAGGGTCTCACTAAATTGTGTAGGCTAACCTCGAACTTTGTGATCCTCCTGCCTCAGTCTCCTGAGTAGCTGAGATTACATGTGAGTGCCTCCATTCCCTGGCCCAGCTAAATTTTGAATTGTTACCTATAGATATGATTCAGAACTTAAAACAAAAAGAGGGAGAAGGAAAAAGAAAATTGGCTTTTAATTTAAAAAGTATTCGCTGGGTGCGATGGCGCACACCTGTAATCCCAGTGGCTCTGGAGGCTGAGGTAGGAGAATCGCGAACAACTTAAGGCCTTAAGCAACTCAAGGAGATCCTTTCTCAAAATAAAAACTAAAAAGGGCTGAGGATGTGGCTCAGTGGTCAAGTTTCCGGGGTTAAATTTCTAATACCAAAAAAAAAAAAAAAGTGAGAAAGAGAGGCATTCTTGTTTTGACAGTTGACAGTTTCTCTTTCATTTTCTATTTTAAAAATTCTATACAGCCTTGAATATTTTTATCAGTTTACAAAGTACTTGCCAACCACTATTTTATATTGTGTTGTCCTTGAAGGGCGATAAGAACTGTAAGTACCTTAGGGAGACATTTAAAACTTTCTAAATAGTATAATCAATTAATTAAAAATATTATTTATAGTAATTTTCTCTAGATATGTGGAGTTATCACTGTTTTGTTTTCTTCCTTTTTGCTTGTCTTACTTTTATGTAATGAACATCGATTGTTCTTTTTTTAATATTTCTTTTAGATGTTGATGTACCTTTATTTTATTCATTTATTTATATTCGATGCTGAGAATTGAACCCAGTGCCTCACACATGCTAGGAATGTGCTCTACTACTGAGCCACAACTCCAGCCCCATCTATTCCTAAAAAAAAAAAAAAAGAGAGAGAGAGAGAGAAATAAAATACAGGGGAAAAACAATCCCAGTTATTCATTATGGGGCGATCTTACACTCCATTCTTTTATTTATTTTTTTGATACTGGAGATTGAACCCAGGATTGTTCTACCGCTTAACTGCATCCTCAGTGTTTTTTGTCTTTTGAGATAAGATTTTGCTAAATTGCCTAGGCTAACCTTGACCTTGGGATCCTTCTGACTTAGCCTACCAAGTAGCTGAGAGTACAGGCGACCTTGCCTAGGTCTTTTTATTTTTTGAGATCGGTCTCACGATGTTGCACAGGCTGTTCTCCAACTCCTGGGCTCAAGCTATAGCCCATCCTTCAGCCTCCAGAGGATCTGGGTGAACACAAAGTCCATCTTCCTCCAACCTTTTGAAAACAAGCTGAGGGGTTGGGGTTGTGGCTCAGTGATAGAGCGCTCACCAAGCATGTGTGAGGCACTAAGTTTGATCCTCAGCACCACATAAAAAACTAAGTTACATATATATAAAATGAACCATAAAACTGAGGGTGTGTGTGTGGGTTGCCTGGTGGAAGAGCACCCCTGGGTATAAAGTTAAACTTTTATTCTTCTGTTTCAGAGAAAACAAACTTCTCCACTTTTGTGAAAGGAAGATTTTGGAACTCCACCTTCAAAAGTCTGGTTCAAAAGTTGAGCTGTTCTCATACTTTGAGACATGCATTTAAAAAAGCCCAGTGAATCCATCTAAAAACAGAATTTGAGTGCTTCATTTGTGGTAGGACTGAGGAAACTTTCTCAGTTCTATAGTGCTTTGGTCACAATATTGAAGGGGGCGCTAAAAAGTCAATAGTCCTGGTTAATAATATTTTAAATCAGAATTAGGGCCTGGGGTTGTAACTCAGTGGCAGAGCACTTGCCTAGCATGTGTGAAGCATTGGGTTGGATCCTTAGCACCACATAAAAAAATAAACAAATAAAATAAAAACATTCTGTCCATCTACAACTACAATTTTAAAAAATCAGAATCAATGCCAATTAACCCACGAGTAACAAAACAGCCATATTTTAAATAAATATAGGCTCAGCAGAATGAGTAGAAGAGAGAAAACCAGTGTTAACAGTTTCACCCCACATTAGCACTGCGGTCTTCTATTCATTCTAGGGCATCTATGACCACATCGGTTGCATATTAAAAGCTGAAAAGAGTTCCAGGTGAAGGAGGTGAGGTGTGCTTTTCAGAATAGGAATATGGATACTGGATTCCAGGAGTACCGCCACCATCCGATCTTGCAATTTGTAAATTAGGGCGATGTCGAATAAGGTGAAAGAATATCCTGTGATTTTAAAGAACTTGAATGGATGGGAGGGGCTCGCAGATAAATTCATTTCTTTCAAAATTTCCTGCACTTCCAGGGTGGTTTCCTCCGCCAGCTGTGTGCATGTCTGTTGGTCTGGGCAGCTCGGTGCTTTTGAATAAAGGTCAGCAGGGCAGGTCACCCTTCCTCCAGATTATTCTCTTCTACCGGGAAAGAGGAGGAAGCCCGGGCCCCTTATCCATCAGTCACTGCAAACTCCTGGGCTTCCCCGACAGCTGTTGAGTCCTGCCTGGAGCTGCAAAACTTCTGGGTTGCCATGGTCCATGGGAGTGAAATGCTGGCCGCCCTCTGCTATCCAGCCCTGAGCGGGCTGCTGCAGAGTCCGCTCCAGTCCCTTTCAAAAGCTTTTTACAGGCGATCCCTGCAGGGAGGAGTGGGGACGGGACCTTAACCTGGGCTTCAGTCCAAGCAACTGGGGCGAATAAAAGAGGCTTTTCTCAAGCTAACGGAGCCAGCTCCGGGATTGTTTCAAAGGATTCTTAACCCCGGGTGTTTCCCGGGAGAGCAGGGATGGTTCTTCCTAAGCTTAATCGCTGCGGGCAGCTAGCTCCTTACAACTCGTTTCAAAGGATTTCCCACCCGGGTCCGGCGGGAAGGGGAGGGCGAACCAATGAATCAGCCCAGACGGCAGGCTGCTGTCAGGTCGCAATGGAGCTAACGGGGGTGACTTGCAAATTCTGGGGACGCTCGTAGAAAGCCGAGGACCGGCCGAAAGCCCGCGGCGCCCTGGACGCAGGCCTCTCGTCTTCGGCTCGCACCTGGCGGGGCACGCGGGCCGGGAGGGGACCCGGCGGCACCGGCGGGGGCAGCAGACAAAGGGGCGGGGGCGTGGGCGGCGGGGCTGGGAGGGGCCGTGCGGCGTCTCCAGGCGGCGGCGGCGGCGGCGGCGGCGGCGCGTCACGCTTTCCCCCGCCCCGACCAAGGAGCCGGGAGGCGGGAGGCGGGAGGCGGCGGCCACGGCGGCAGCGGCTGCTGCAGAGGTGCAGGTGGAGGCGACCAGCGGCGTCCGAGGCGGTGAGCGCGGCGCGCGGCCCTGTCCCTTCGCGTTCCCGGGTTCCCTCTGCGCCGCGGCGCCCTCTGGGGCCGCCCCGGAGGCCGCGCGGTGGCCGCCCGAGGGCGCCGCGCCGGGCCTTGCCTCGCTCCGCCCGCCTGGGACGCGGCCGGTTCGGCCTGCCCGCGCCGCTGCCCCGCGACCTCCGGCACTGCTCCGCCCGGGGCGGTGGGCGGCGGGCCCGGGAGGCCTCGGCCCGGCCCGACCTGTTGCCCTGGGCGCCGCCACCTGAGCCTTCCGTGGGGCCTGGCGCCCGACCGCCGGCTTTGTCTAGCTCCCGAGCGGCCGAGCTTCCCGGGGAGGCGCGGGGCTAGAGGGGGCCGCGTCCTGGGGGTCCCGCTGCCGGCCACCTGGACCTGCGGCCGCGCGGGCACCGGTGCGGGACCGCGACACCGGTCGGGGGTGATTTGGGAAGCAGAGGCTGGCGGCCCCCAGAATTTGGAGGTCCCGGTGCCGCAGAATTTTTGATTCCGGGGTGAAGCCCCGATCCTGCCGTCTTCCTGTGGCCTTTCCACCTGGCAGCAGCCGAGCACCACCCTCCGCCCTGCGCAGCCCCACCTCTGGGGCATGGCGAAATTACACATTAAGTCTGTAATCGGTGTAGATACCTGTTTTTAGCAAAACTTGGGCGCCAGTGACTGCTTTTAAGGAGGAGGGTGGAGAGATTCCGTGATGTGTTTTTGCTTGTGTGATTCAGCAGCCTTGCCTTCCTCTTTTAGGTTAGGACAGTGCCTGGCGGTCGGAGCTCTGTAAGTACCCGTGCTGTGGAGCCTGTTTTTATGGTTATCACTCGGGGGTTTTATTGCTGCTGTGATAGGAGAGCATTGTGTTTGGCTTTTAGGTTTAATGATACCTTCTGCAAAAATCCTCAGGTATGTAGCTCCTCAGCCCTGGGGCATTTTTCCCCCCTCTGGAAATAATAACAGTGAATATTTATTGAAGGCTTCTGTGGTCAGCCTCTGAGCAAGTCGTGTGTTTTTATCTCATGTAATCAGTCCAACGCAATGAGGTATTGTCGTCATCCCCATTTTACAAAGAGGGCACAGGAAGGTCAAGTAATTTGAGAGCCACTCATCTGAGGGATAAAGATTTGAACTCAGTTCTTCTGACTCCAGGTGCTTAGTTTTAAGTTAATATGGTGAATCTAGGGCCCAGAGCAAAGCCAGACTTTATTAAAGCAAAGGAAATGGGTGATTGCTTGGTTAAAGGCTTCTGCCTGGTGTGGATGTGGATGTGGGTGTGTGTGGTCCTGGGGATGGAACCTTGGGCCAGTCCTTCCTATACTACTGAGCTGTACTCCAGCCCTTGTTCCCAATTTTTGAGGTTGAGATAAAGCAGTTAAGTGGCCTTCCCATTACTCCCAGCTCTGGGGTGAAAACAGAAACTGGGTGGGACCTACAGTTATCTACTTGAATATCAGGATTTTGCCCATCCCTGTTCTTTCCTGTCATTTGCTAGAGCACAACTTAAGCCAATCAGGCTTCTGTCCTTAATGAATTTAGACTTTGATTTTTTAATTTATCTGAAAAGAAAATTCTTATACAGTGTCTAACATCAAGTCTGTCACATCCTGGGTGAAATGACTCAGTAATGTTTGGTTTTTGGCTCCCCCATGGGATCAAGAGTGCATGCTAGGTAAGCACTCTACCACCAAGCTACACCCCAAGCTAGCTCTTACTTTTTTAAGTGCTATTAGGATTTTAAGCCCAATGGATGGAATATAAGATGAATTGGTTCCTTTATATGCCATGCCTGCTGTTCTTTATTATTATTTAATTTTTAGTTTTTTCAATGGACACAATATATTTTACTTTTATGTGGTGCTGAGGATCGAACCCAGCGCCCCGCACATGCCAGGGGAGCGTGCTACGGCTTGAGCCAGCCCTGTTCCTTATTATTTACAGATGGATTTCTGGTCTTCCTAGAATCTGTATATCAAGGGCAAAAGATTGTACCTTGTCTTTCATCTCATGGGATCTTCTGCAGCATTCTGTAGAGTTCCATGTACTCAATAAATATTTATTATTTAGTTAATTGAAAATACGAGGTCCATAAATTTCAAGATTTTTGTTTTTGTTTGTTTTTAATTGATGTTGCTGGAGATTGAGCCCAGGATGCATACTAAAAACACCTTCTACCACTGAGCTACACCCCCCAAGATTGGTTTTATAGGAGTCAAAATGAAAGAGAGAAATAGAAGGTAGCATAGTAAAGGCACAGGAAAATGGTTTAATATTTGTTAATTGTATCAGAAAACTTTGTCTATATATTGTTAACTAAAGTGAGACTTTTCCACTCAGTACTGTCAACTTCTTTCCTCCTTGCCTTGTACAAATGAGGTGGGAGCTCCAGTTTGTTTTTCTCTGATGTGAATAGTCGACACGGGTGTGTATCAGCTGACAGGCCTATACTTCTCCTTTGTGGTATTTTTGAAGTGTGATATCCCCCCAAAGGCAGGTTATAGAGCTGGGCTGTAACTGTGGACTGTAATGAGGTCTCATTAGATATTCACACAAGATATTTATTGAGCTACCTACTGTGTGGCAGGTGTGATTCTCAGACTGTGTGCTAGTCACACAGTCTCTTGAATAAAACAGAAATGCCTCTTCTGTTGGAATTCCACTTAGAGGAGGTCCAGACAATGAAGAGTATGTTTTGCTAGAAAGTGATAAATGGTAAGGAAAAATAAGCTGGGGAAGAGGGAATGTGAAATTTGGGGGATAAGGGTTTGAGTTTTGGAAATTTTAGGTAGAGTGGCAAGAGATCTGAGAATGTGACTTTTGATCTAAAGGAAGTGAGGGAATGTCAATCCCAGAGGGAAGTGCATTCTAGGAAGAAGGAATAGCAAGTACAGGGGTCCTGAAAGGGCAGCTTGGGAGGGGAAGATAATTTAAGGCTTTATACAGGCTGTATATAGTCCTCAAAATGCATATTTATTTAAATGTTTAAAAATACTAAATAATTTTATGCTGTGTTAATGATTTTGAGGAATATTAAAGGTGGGGGCACTGAGGTTCCAAGAATTTTGCTAATTTTTCTGAAAGTTCACAGATAGTGAATATAGAGCTAGAAATCACAGCCCAGTTGATGTGCCTTTAAGCAGAGTACAGAATGCCTTGGCAATAGAACCAAGTGGGTGGCCAGCAGGCCAGCTCGGTACTTGATGTTCAGGCTTAGTATTGAGTATATTCTTATTTGTGTGCATCTGTTCAGGGTCTTTGGTGACCCCTGGATGGCCATGTAATGATACTTGCATACATAGGTTTTCCCCAGAATTGTGCTCCTGGCAGCACAGCCCTCCTTTAGTTTTAAACATTTCGTGGTACACACTGTGTTTTAGGGTAAACCTTTACGTAAGTCTTTTCCATCTTAATGGGGAAGCAATGTCAGTATTACCCTGGATTTGATTTTTTAGATAGCTCTTTAGGGAAGTTTTAAACTCCTACAGTATCTTCTATATCTTTAATATACATAGTGTATGTTTCCCATATAGTTGGAAACTCAAAAGAATCCATGTGCTTTAAATCACCATTGGAGTTACAGTGCAGTTTTAAGGGAAAACATACTGACTGATGGTACTCTAGAAGAATTTCAAGGAAGAATGAGCTCAGATTCCAATTGGGAACAGAAGGAGTTTTTTTTTTTGGTAGGTTGGCAGACTGCACTTAACCAACCTTGAATTTGGCGAGGACATCTGGGTTAATATCCTGGCCCTGGCACCAAATACCAAGGAATCTTGGCTACAATTAGTTGAGAGCTTTTTTTTAAATCTCCATCTGGCACTTGGAGAAGGATAGATTCCACTAGCACTAACTCAATGGGTGGGTCTGTTTTTTAATTGTTTATTGTGGTCCAGCTACAACATCTTAAAAGTATTCTTTGTGAAATCTTGGAAAAGAGGAAATAGTCATTCCCATTATGGAATCCCTATCGGGAAGCCTTTCCTGTGTCTCCATCCCTGGGGAAATAATGTATTCTCATCTGCCTCCTCTTAGGAATCCCCATGAGACCAAGATAGACATTTGCTGCTCTTATGTTTTATATAGGATGAAGTCCATTATGCTTAAGACTTGAATTAAATAATTTGATATTTGTGCTCTTTGCTTATATATCTGAGTATAGCTTGGAATAGATTTCATTTTAACTCTGCCCAGTTTTGACATTTAAAATTACAAAGTCCTGGATTTACAATATCTTTTTTGAAATTAAAGGACCTGGAGATCCAGATGTGCAGGATGTGCAAATCATTGATGCTTTTTGTTCTTTCTTTTTTGCTCTCTTTCTTTCTGGGTTCTTTTTTTTTTTTTTTTTAAGTGTTGGGGATGAACTATGTCCCCGCCCCTGAGGGAAGGCAGTTTTAATCAAACCCTCTCCCCATTCATTCTACAAATTCTTTCTTTTACTCAAGAATTGCACTGATATATTTGGCACATATTTCCCTCTCAGGGAAAATAAGCGATATTAGGGATGTTTTCCTAAAAATCTTTTTTTATTTTTTTAGTATTTTTTAAGTTGTAGTTGGATACAATATATTTATTTTTATGTGATGTCGAGGTTTGAACCCAGTGCCTCACATGCGAGAGGTGGGTGCTCTACCAATGAGCTACAGCCCCAGTCCCCTAAAACTCTCTTAATCAAGTCTTTTGCCTGCCTGCCTTCTCTCTCATACTGATTTACCCTATGTAAAGCCTTCTTACTGAAGATAGTCTGTTCTCAATACCTCAAGGCAGGAAGGAACCTATTTAGACTTTTCCTTCTGGACTAGAGAATAAATAAACTGTATAATCAGGGTAGTTTTTTTATAGCCTAAGTGAAAGCAAACTTTTATTACTAAATTTCTTTATAAATGGGTAACAAGAAAAAAGTGTGTCTTCATCACATGAAACCATATCACTAATTTCTGTTGTAAGGTGTGTATATCTTGCTTAGGTTGTTATACTGAGTATTTAGTATTAAAGTTTAGATCTTTTTTTTGTGGGGATGTTATTTGGGGAATTGAACCCAGGGACACTTTATTAATGAACTATATTCCTAGATTTAAAAAAAAAATTTTTTTGAGACAGGATCTCTTTTTCTTTTTCTTCCCCTCATCTAAGTTGCGGAGGCTGGCTTGAACTTGTGATCCTCCTGTCTCAGCCTCTCAAGTTGCTGGCTTTACAGGTGTACCAGCACAAGTTAAATTTAGAGAATGTTTTCCAGTGAAATTTTTCTTTTTTTTAGGTTCTCAGGTTAATATATACCAGTTTTACAGTGTTTTTATATATTTTGATAACATGTTCTCTTTTTTAAAAATATTTTTTAATGTTGATGGATGTTTTTATTTGTTTATATATTTTTAAAAAGTTTTTATTCTAATTTGTTATATATGACAGAAGAATGCATTACAATTCATATTACATATATAGAGCATAATTTTTCTCTGCTTGGATACAAAGTATATTCACACCATTCATGTCTTCTTCATACATGTACTTAGGGTAGTGATGTCCATCTCATTCCACCATTTTTTTTTTTTAACCCCCTTCCCCCCTTCCCTCCCTTATTCACTTATTTTTATGTGGTGCTGAGAATCAAACCCAGTGCCTCATACATACTAGGCAAGCTCTCTATTACCACAACCCCAGCCTCAACATGTTCTCTTCTTAAAACATGGATTCTGGGGCTGGGGTTTTGGCTTGGTGCTTGCCCAGCCAAAAGGCACTAGGTTCGATTCTTAGCACCACATATAAATGAGTAAATAAATAAACTA